GGAACATTCAGCAGGAGCAAATCCTTCAGAAGCAAAGATCTACTGCAACATTTTGTTTCAGGTCCACTTGCAGTCAGATAAGAGTAATCTTCACCAAGATGATGATGATGATGATGATGATGATGATGATGATGATGATGATGATGATGCTTTCTTACCTGCCTCTCCCTACAGATCGAGGCAGGGAACAATAACAATGAACAGAAGAACAGTTTAAAAGATATTAGGTTTTTTTTTTTAAATTATTGTTTACAAAAGGTAAAACACAATTACATCACCATTCCACTTTAAAGACACATAAAATACAAATTTACAAAACTGAGGTCTCATTCAAAACTCCAGACCAAAAGTTCCTGTGATGGTGTGGTGGGACATGAGCATGAGAATTGGAGTTCATATGTTGTGTAAGAGTCAGCCACTTTTCGTTGAACTGGTTACACTTCCTTGCCTCAGAGGTTAAAAAGATATCAGTTAAAACACTCACCAATTTTAAAAGACAAACAAGATGTACACATATTAAAACAATCCACATTTAAAATGCATCATTTAAAATTCACAATTTAATAATCATCCGAATAAGCCTGCTGGAAGAGACTGGTCTTTAATGCTCTTCATAAGAGTATGCAGAGTTCTCATGTATTCCAGTTAAATTATGTAACCCTTTATTCATTCAGCACAACCTGTTAAGGAACCTCTGTGTGTGTGTGTGTGTGTGTGTGTGTGTGTGTGTACGTGCCATCAAGTCACTTGTGTATTTCTGATGACCCCATGAATTCCATTGGGTTTTCTTAGGCAAGAAGTACTTAGAGTAGTTTTTTGCCAATTCTTTCCTTTGAAATGCAGCCACAGCACCTGGTATTCATTGGCAGTCTCCCATCCAATTACTAACCAGGGCTGACCCTGGTTAGCATCCAAGATCAGATGGATTCTGGTGCTGTTAGGATATTTACACCATAAAGAACCTACACATGTACAAAATATATGTACACTTGAAGCAGCAAGGCCATTATTTACACATATGGATTCTATGCACATAGATTTTGCATGTGTGGAGGTTGGTCCACTATGCTGAATGGACTTAAAGGCTAGAGACAGCATAGGAGAAACACCAAAACTCCCATTCTGTACACGTTTATTGAAATAAATGGTGAACCTGACACAGTGAGCTGTGAAGGGCTGACTCAAACATGAGCAGTTAGAAAAGTCAAGAGAGGTAGAGTCTTGTATTACAATTCTAGCCCCAGAATCTCAGGATAAATAAGATGGAAATGAAGGAGTGATTCATGAATGTCTGAGTCAATCCATTCAGATCCTGAGGAAACCTTCACGTTTAGGTGGTCAGTGCTGAGGGGGAATGAAGGGTTAGAACAAAGGTGAGAGGCAGCATGGCATAGAGGTTTGAGTGTGATGGACTATGGGCCTTGGCAGACGGAGGCCCCGGAGACGCCGCGGGTTGGAGTGCCGGCGGAGCTCAGCCTCCGCACCGCGGCGCTCCTGCGGCGAATCTAAAAGGAGCACCAAATTGGCGCTCCTTTTAGATTTCAGAGAAAGTGCGCCCTAAAAGCGGCGGGCGCACTTTCCCTGACTCAAACGCCACGGCGCGTCCGGTCACCGCGGCGTGAGGTCATCCCCGGAGCACCGGCCGTGCGGAGGGCCGGCGACTCCGAGGGTGACCTCAGGGAGAGGAAGGGGCACCGCTCGTGTGGCTGCCTCTCCTCTTCTGGGCCTGGAAGACGGCTCAGTTAGCCGTCTGCTGAGGCCCTATGACTCTGGAAACCAGAGTTCAATTCTCAGCTTGTCCATGAGACCCACTGGGTGACCATGCTCTCAGCCTCAGAGGATGGCAATGGTAAACCTCCTCTCAACAAATCATGCCAAGAATACCCCATTATAGATTCACCTTAGAGTTTCCATAAATCAGAAATGACATGAAGGCGCACAAACACAAAGAACAAAGGACCACATTTGGTGTAGTAGGGTGAGGTTGATCCTGACAACAAATGAGAAGATTTGGTAGGGTTGGAATGTGACAACCTGGTTACAGGCAAGTGAGATGAGGGCTCCTGTTTAGGAGACTACCATGCCTGGCTCACCATGACCTTCCAGGCACAGTTGTTACGAATATCAGA